AAAGAGAATAAAGAGTCCTCGTTAAAAAAAAAAAAAACAAAAAACAACAAACAAAAAAAACAATCAACCCAAAAAACCAATAAAATATAATGAGCATGGATTCAAGAGGATAACACACAACGCAACAGGACTAACAGCAATTGCAAAGAGGAAGAGGAGTGCTTCATTTGGTGATTCAAGTAAGCAAAGAAAAAGATTAAGGAAAACCAAAGGAATAAAGGGAAACAGCATTCAGTAGATAAATGAAAACTACGTAAGAATCAAAATCAACCCTAAATAATTTGATTCTTTTAGATTTGTGTCATATCTCTTAATATAAAAGACATGCTTTTATTACCTTTCTTTCGAAAGAGTGCATTTAGATAGTTTTCTGCTTGGCATTCAATCTTATCAGTGTTGGACTGTCCCTGAGATGACAGTTCCTCTGTAGGCGTTGACTGTGAAGAACCGATAACTGATGCACGATCCTAGAAGACATATCAGGATTATAACATCTTTCAGAAATTAGTCCACTGGTAGTAAAATATACTATTAAACTATTGAGCTATTGAGTGAAAAAGAACCACTAAAAAGATATTTATTATAAAGCCAAACCACCTCACTCCCTCACATAGCCAAACTATCTTGAGCCAAAATGCAGTATCAATTCTCCAATTTTTACTTTCATACAAAAAATTGGGTGTTGGGGAGTCATGCTTGATATCATGTTAATACTTACACTGACTGTTTCTTTGTGTAAATTACAAAAGGAACATTTCTCATCCATAGACCAGTCAGTTAGCTCTTCTGGCTCACAGTCTTAAAAGAAGAAAAAAAGCTAGATGTTTTAAACAAGTAAAAATGGATTTTGAGAACAAAATACACATCCTACAATTATCTTAAATAAATTCCATTATAACGTAATATACATTTATTGGTACAATGTAGTCAGTAGTATTCAATTCTTCAGATATTTCCAGTCTTGTCTGGCTCACATGGCTCAACTTTCAAATAGCAGAGGGCACCTTTCTTAGAAGGAAAGGTAAACTCATACATTTCAATTGATTACCTATCACAGTTACTGGAGGTATCTGAACACTGTAAATGAAGCCCTGAATTCCAGCCATCATTGCCTTTAACAAAAGTGTGTGAACTTGTAGTAAACTAAGCTAGGAATTAGGATATGGACTTCTCGCCATTTGAGCTACATCTGTTGTACTTACAATATTTTAATTGATTTGACACCATCACTATAGGTAAACTAAAACCCTATATTCACTTGTAGCACTTGATTTATTTAGAAAACTTTAAAGTAACTTTATACATTTTATCAGAAGACATACTTTGGTTTTGAAGGAACACAGAACTTAAAACAGATCACCTATATCAAGTCTAGTCTTCTCTGAATGCAGACACGCCATCTATTTTCTTTAAACAAGTTATTAAGCTCCATTTCAAAGTTAAGAGTTTTCTACCACATACTCTTCTCTTCCCAAACTACCAATTGCTTTAAAGCTCTTCCCAGACCAACTGTGCTAATAGTTAAAATTAATCCTCTAATTTCTTGTTTAAATTTACTCATGGCAAGTTATTCCAGTTTGCTTTTGTGGCAACAATGTTCTTATACCCACGAACAATAACTGTTTAGGTATTTAGCACCTTGATGTATTTACAGAGAATATCATTATCCCCGCTTTACACTTCATTTTGCTAGGCTAATCTAGTCCACCCGGTTTTCTCTCATGAGGTTCAACCCCATCTTTTCTGCACCATTCTCACTTGAACACCACCTGCTTCCTGAACACAGGTGACCAAGATCTCAAGACGATGCCTTTCTTTTACATTTACACCAGACTTCCTTAAACTTTAGACAGCACTTTTCCTACGGTATCCTAGTTGTGCAAGAGTCTTTATCACAGCTGCAGCACTTTGGCAGGTGAATATGAATCTGATTAACTACAACACCAAGGCCCTCTCCATCCCATTCATTTCCAGTTCATGCACTTACAACCTAAACAACTCCCCCCCCCTCCCCCCAATTAATTATCAAATATTTTTCCTCCTTTCCTCCATACTACTAAATTACAATCACAGTTCTGTTAGGGAGGTTCTTGACATTATCTCATTTCAGTAACACCCTGTGGTAGGTTGAACTTGGCTGGCTGCCATCCCCCACCCAGTTGCTCTCTCACTCCCCTTCCTCAACAGGGCAGCGGGAGAAAATAAGATGGAAAAACTTGTGGGTCAAGATAAAGACAGGGAGATCACTTACCAGTTACTGTCACAGGCAAGCCAGACTCAACTTGGGGAAAATTAATTTCACTTATTGCCAATAAAAATAGATTTGCATAATGAGAAATGCAAACTAAAACCAGTTTACCCCCCCTTCTTCCCAGGCTTCAACTTCACGCCTGCATTCCTGACTCTTCTACCTCCTCCCCCACCCCGAACACCACAAGGAGAATGGGGAACATGGCCTGTCCTCAGTTCATAACAGTTCCTCTCTGCCACTCCTTCCTCCTCACATTTTTCCCCTGTTCCAGTGTGGGGTCCTTCATGGGCTGCAGTGCAGGTATCTGTTCCAACACAGAACCTGCAGCCTGTGGAGGACTACCTGCTTCACCATGGTCTTCTCCATGGGCTGCAAGGGAATCTCTGCTCCGGTGCCTGGAGCGCCTCCTCTCCCCTCTTCCTTCTCTGACCTTGCTGTCTGCAGGGTTGTTTCCCACTTCGCCTCCCCCCCTTGCCACTGCAAACTGCTGAGCTTTTACTCTTTCTTAAATACATTGTCACAGAGACACCATCAGAAATAAAATGGATCTGAAAAAATGAGGTTCTTAAGCTCAGTGTGAACATAACCCAAGAGACCCTGTATTATTATTTAAATCTAGTTTACTCAGCTCTAAAATGCTAATTTAGAACAGAATTCTGTATTAACAATGTGTTACATGCTTCCAGGGATGCAAACCAGCAGTTTTGATCATCAGCTGTCCAACCTGTCAAAAACAGACACAGGATTTTTCTTGACTGGACAGTAACAAAAGATAATGAGTTATTTTTGCTGAATTAATTAGCTGTCCCAGCCTGTTAGAGCTATTCCTTTAAGATGTCCACAGAGGAAAAAACCCACACTATTCTTTCATAACAAGTTCATGTTTTCATAGTTTTCCTTACAACTACAATAAATCTACTTGTGAATGTCGGGATCTGCGCATAACTCCAAGACAGCTTTTATATTTTCAGAGAAATTCTTCTGCCTTGGAATCCTGAAAGTCCACTGTTAAAAGTCTAACTAGAGAGCAATCCCTGTGTGTCACCAAAAAAGCAAACCTTGAGAAACATCAGCTCTACATAACACTACATTTATTCAAAGAAGTATAAACCACGTACAACATAACACATTAGGTATGCCAGTGAGATAAGCAAAACTGCCATCAGGTAGCAGATACACACCAGACACATCAAATGCCAGGCATGCAACAATCTCAGGTCACCACCACAGGAAACATACTGAGACCAGCATTAGTTTTTAACTACAGACAGACAACCATACTCTCGGAAAGATCAGAGGCACAGATGGCACTTTAAGCAGAACAAACTTTCTCTTAGCTGCATTCAATTTAGGACCATGATCATCCTCCTCCCCCATTTTATCTGCTTGGGGTACAGCTGATAAAAGATTTGCTGACAACATACAACACTAGCCAGCCCATGAGAAAAAGTTGTTAAGATTGTGCAAAGAGCATTTTAATACTAAGCATGGTACAGATTATTACTGGAAACCAAAGTCATTTAGTACAAAGCTGTTAAACTTATTTCCATTTTTTAAGAATAAAATTGTGAACTTTGACAAAAACTACTACCTTTTTTCATTTCTTAAGCCATTCAAATCTTTGTTTCCCCAAACCATTTTTCCCAAGGAGTCATGCCGAATTAAACAGACATCTGTAGTACTGAACAGATGCAATGTTTACCTCTTGAAATATGAAATAATAGTCTAGTAAATCGAAATATGATAGCTTAAAAAATTCAACCCTTACTTTCCAAGTATTTTCTGCATTATTATAATGTTCCCATAAATTTTTCAGCTATTTGTCACAATTCTGAACAAATCATCCCCTTCTTTTTTATATGGCACTACTGTTTCCTAATAAGTACATTAGAATATTTGAGGTGTTTATCATGTTCCTTCATCTTTTTAATGTCATAAAAACTTGAATATTAGAGATTCGTGTTTCTAATATAATTTTTCAGTCCATTACTTTATATATGAAGAAATATTCCACAGCTATCTAAGGAAAAATAAAACATACCCTCAAATAAACCTTTCATCCTGCATAAAGAGGTTTTTTTCCTGGCAGAGAAAGAATGACAAGAGACCTGCTTTTCTCCCACAAGACACCGTTTTTCCTCTGTCCAGAGACTAGAACCCCAGCACATAATCCCAAAAAAGAAAATACACACATACCAGATGATTAGAGGAAAAGCTTTCTAACAGTCTAGCTAAATATCCATAAGTAGAATGTAAAGAATAACAATTTACATGTGAATCTACTTGGCTGAAAATGGGTATAAGCAAAGGATTAGAAAGCCCTAAGGGTTCAGTGATACAAGAAGCCGTGAGCTCGATCAGAGCATGACCAAGGTCAGATGCCAAGATATAGAACTTGACACCTTTGCAAGCAGAAGCTGCACTATCAAAGCAGTCAGGAAAAAAAATGGTGCTGAATAACAGAGGTGACAAGAACCATTTAAGCAAGCCCAAGGTAAGTCCTACATATACATCATAAGAATTTCAAGATAACAGAAAAAAAAAAATTGTCATCTTCAGGTAACTATCTGTTGTTATGGGTGGCTATTTCAGTTTAATTAGTTTGGCTTCTCAGCAAGATTATTTCTGAGGTTTACAAGATATTTTCTTTGAAAAGTAAAAAAACGTAGTAAAACTGAAGTGTGCCTTTTATCATTTAAATTTGTCGTTACAATTTATTCTCTCAGGTAACTTTGAGAGAATACAATACAATAATCTATAGATCAAATACTATTTCAAGACAGAAATAAGGAGGAAATCTATCAATTAACACACTCATGTTACATTTTATGCATGTTATTAATTTTTTTCCATGTTATAAACAATACATAAAACGAACAACGTAAGAGAAAAAATGCTGTTGTAGCTAAGCAGCATGTATTTCAGGCGATTATCACACATTTCTGTGTAAGAAAGCCATATAATATCTTGAGGTTTGTTCAAGGGAACATACACTTGCTAACCAGGCATAATGCTGCAATGTTGACAGTACTGGTTCAGTGGTTATGATGAGAAAAACGTACACTTTACAAGATGCAGTGATTTAGGCATGTTGCTAAGAGTCTAAAAACTTCTGATTCTGATTCTACCAACCGTATATTCTGTTAACTAAGGCAAATTATTTACTTTGTATCTTAGTTTCATTACCTGTAAAGTGAAACGTGGCACTTAAATTATGACAATGGAAAGTTTCACAGCAAATTTTACTCAATAGTTCTGTATTAATCATCATAATGCAATTCAGACCTCAAATTAGAAATAGCCTTGTATCCTATACTATAAGGTCTACCTCTACTATGTTTGTACAAAACATGGCAATTTCCAACGGGATTACTGAAGTTACAGATACTATAAAAAATGAACCAAAAATAGTAAAGTAAGGTGGGGATCCCAACCTAACACTCCTTCATCTCTTCTGCAGTGGTTCCAGAAGTAAAATCAACTTTACAGATATGTCAAACGTAGGAACAGGCTTTAACTGTTGAAAAATTCAGGCACATTATTGACAGACATTCTTGCAAATTGGAAAAAAAATAGTTTTGAAACTTTACATTTTAGATAAACATTAATTTAATTTGCAGGACAAAGTCATTGGGGCATCAAATATCAAAAACCCTCTGCAAGCAATGGAAATAGCAGATCTTAAATAGGTTACAAGAAATCTTCAACAGCACGAGGCAAATAAGCTAAAACTGGAGCAATGTAACACCTTATTGTGTCCTATCAGACTCCTTTAACTGTAACACTTATATTCTGGTCATTAGCTCAGTACTTTCTGCCTTCTTACACAAAAAAAAAAGTCCTGAATTTTCTTTCAAAATGCAAGCCCTTTGATGCAAAAGAATAATAAAGCTTTATTCACTAATCAATGTAAATCCCAATACATAGCAACCCATTGGAATTACAACCAGAAAAAAAAAATACACTATTATAACAATGCCCTGTTCCCTTTTCAAAGCAGTAATGTGCTTGTTCATCACAGGAGATGGGAGTACTACTCATGAAAATAAGCTTTAACCCAAATTTACACATTTCTTACGTGTTTTTAAGTCTGACTAGTGGCACACTTAGCTCTGTAAGTGGCAAAAAATATTCTTAAAACAACAGTAAAGTAGTATTTCAGGTTCTCCCCCTTTCCCTTGAAAATATTGTGTTATGCCTATGATACAGGCCAAGGAACTTGCACATTATGAAGAGGACAAAACCATAACCAAGTTAAAGCAATCATTCCAAACCTATTCTAAGCAAATATAAACAGCATATGCCACTCTGCCTCATGTACTAGCAGTATATAAGTTACATGCTTTACAAATTACACTATTAGATAATAAATTGTAAAGAAATGAAATGGAACATTTTGAAGGGTCAATAACAGAAGGAACATTTTTTTTTTTAAAGCCATGAAAATGAACTTGACAGACACTTCTTTCAACACTTCAAAGCAATTTTGTGCTGGATTTTCGTCCTCTGCTTTTGTTAAAGACAGATAAATTATTTCATACTTAACTAACTGAAGACTCAGGTATTATTGACAGCTATTCCAGCAAAACCAAACCCATTTGGAATAAGGCTAGGTCTTATAAGGGTAATGGAAAAAAAAAAAATTTTACATACATATACACACACTCTTAAATATAGATACACTCTTTATATATACACACAGAAATATATAAAAATAAAAAGCTTAGTTTTTGTATATATAAAGATGTAAAAAATATATAAAAACCTTAAAACTTTCTTGACCACTACAAGAAAACCAAACTAGCATTCATTACCTTCCTTTTCCCAATTAATGTTGATAGGAAGCTGAGCAGCTTGTCTTCCTTTTCTAAAAGCTGTCCAAAAAACGAAGTAGGAGTTGCAGTATTCCAGAAAAGTAAATCTTTCTCATGAGAGCTTCTTAGGAAAGCTTAGCTAATCCAAAATTTCCCTGCATAGGAACAAAACCTAGGTACCATTTTACCTAGGGTTTTGCCTCTGCACAGTATTGACAAGAACATGATGAAATCAACATTAGAAAGATAAACAATTTAAAATTTCCTTTTTAGTATTCAATATATACTTTAAACTACAAGAAAAACTAATAAATTAAAGTAATTCCATTAAAAACTGGCTCATTTACCTTCAAATAAACTGAGGTCTCTTCGTAGCCTTGGTCCATAAAGCCCTTCTAAAATACTTTCAAAACCTGGAGACAAAAGAAACATTTAAAATAGTAAATCAAAAGTTTCTTAAAAGGAAGCAAATTCGAGAACACTGGCAACAAGCATTATCAAATTCTGATAGCAATTGCAAAAATTGTTCCATTTATCACACAAATATTTACTCCTTCCACTATAGTACTATTCAACAGAATTAGAAGATAAAAATAAGACAAGGCAACTGCCATCTGCACACAATCAGCCTATTAAGCCATGCCCCAACAACCTCATTAGACTTAAAATAACTACCACAGAATCTTAAAGGTGGGAGGATTAGCCTCATAGCTCTACACAAGTGAAGTAGTCTCTCTCTTACACTGAGAATTAGAATCATGTACAGAGAGGAAAAAAAAAGGAAACCCTCAAAATCAGAAACTTCTTATTTATGATCACCTGAAATTACATAATCTGAGTAGGCTAACATTTCTACAAATATAAAAAAGAAAGTTTATTTTGCTTCTGTAACCGTTCTCTCTAGTCCTCTGTATCTGTACAAACACATTTTAAAATTGAGGATTAGATAAATCCAATTATTTTCCAGATTTACCAGCTAGTCTGTTTAGGTATCTGGTAAAATCGCATACTGTAACAAGGGAGAAGAGACAGAGCAAACCAAGTGATTAAAAAAAAAAACAAACCCAAAAAACCCCAAACAAAAACCAAACAAAAAACCCCAAACAAAAAAAACAGAAGAGGAGATGCATGACAACTGATGAAATATGGTGAGAATTTACATCATCATCAACATAACAGAAGTTTTGTTTAATATAGAAAGTTTCCAAGTACCCCCTCTTTTCTCCTTCCAAATAATAAGCTTATTTTCAACTAAGAGGATAATTCAAAGCAGCATTTGAAGGTTCTCATTCTTTATACTCAAGACCTGTCTATATTAAAGTTGTAGCATTTTACAGACTATTTTATCATCAGACCACATAAAAGATACCAATAACTTCAGGAAACAACTACCTACCATCAACAAAAACATTTAGAAACACAAAATTTGCTCATGAGCTGTGATGACCTCTAAGACAACGCAACATACTGTTCTCTCATCAAAAATGACATTTACTTTTTGGTTTAGATTGTATGTACACTAGTATAAGGAAGAATAAATATGTACCATATCTTAAGTAGCACATTAAATAATATATTAAAATCCTAATGTAGACAAGAGAAGCTATCTTAACACATAGGAGCTGTTCAGCTTGACAGGTCACATTTTGTCAAAATTTACCTTTATATTTTGTATTATTCTATAACTTTAATATATGGATTATATTTATATTATTAAAGTCAACTGATTATAATTATACTTGCTATAAATCTATGATTTGTGCTATAAATGTATTTATTTCTATTTTAATTTTCCACTTTTCTCTGTAATATAGTCCTATGCAAGAACACAAATTAAGTGACAAAACCACTGTCCTCTCACAAATATAGATACACACACTTTTTAAAATCTACAAAAACTAGAAAGCAAAAATCCAAGGCCCAAGCATACACTGAAATTTACCTTAAAGCATTATCCACCGACTCTTAGATTCAATGTAATATAAATTCACATCATATTAGCATTGCACAAATTCTTCTGGCTTCAAAGGGTTATGGACAAAAGTGCAAGAGAGATGAAGTCTGAAGTTAAGATAGCAATTCCCCAAACACAACAGTCTGGAAATATAAAACACACTATGTGTATTATTATGATCATTAACATTATAAACTGCAAGCCACTTTAGCTCAGCAGCTAGCCAATAATTAGGTTCTTGCAAGTTACTATCACTGGGTAAAGACATGAATGAAGTATCTCTCGGAGACAGTTGTACTTATTCCAAAAGAATAAACACTAACTCCTATTTCTTAGCACTTTGTAAATCAAGCAGCAGGAAGCTTGTTTACCATTCCCCTCAGCAGCCGGTCCCCCTCGCCATGGAGGAAGTTACTTGTTTCTGCCTTTACTTTTGTACTCACACATATCTGCTTGCCCTACTGCCTGCTCCTGCCTATGCAAAAACATGAGCACAGAAAAAACAGCTCTGTGAAACAGCAGTTTGTTAAGGAAGGATGCGATTTCCAAACAGACTTCCATACAGCTTGTGTTAAAGATGGCAATTAGCACACTGCGGGGTTTTCTTCCTGAGCAAAGAAAACGCCAACCCACTTCTCTGCTAGTTCACCAAACTTAGTTCCATCCCACCCATCCAAAGCGATGCTTCTCTTAAAAGTCCTCCCAGAGCTTCCCCATGGAGCCACAATTTAGACTTAATCAATGTGATCATTTGCTTCCTCACCTTTGGATACCAGATCCTTTCTTTTAAAAGAAAGTTTACTTGTACAACCTAACAAATTAGAGAGAACCTTTTTGCAGCCCTTATTCTAAAGTTTTCCCAGAAAAGATATGTACTACTTCTACCTTGGGCAGTTTTCTACAAAGTTCTTCTCCTGCTTTTCTTTTTTTTAGCAGGATCGATACAATTTTAATTTAGCCGAAACAGGAAGATACATCTTAGTTTCCAGTACAGCTACTGATTAATATGTGCTGGCACTGTTTCATAAAATGCAACCACCTGAACACAGATATTTCAATAAACCTTTGTTTTACTTAATGAGACAGTATGCATAAGCAAACGGTAGTAGTAGTTTTGGAACTCTTCAGAACCTGAAGAGCCTACAGATACCAGCCAGAAATATCATAGAAACATAGAATGGTTTGGGTTGGAAGGGACCTTTAAAGGTCATCTAGCCCAAACCCCCTGCAATGAGCAGGGACAAATATACTTTGCTTATACCTCTTGTGATTCACCAATAAAAAAAAATTCTGCTCTAAATTAATTTTACAGAATTTTTTGTCTCTTAGCAGCTGCCTGCCTCCTTGATTCCAAACTACCTTTCAAAACTACTGTTACTTGAGCCCTGACACTTTCTAGCTCCAACCTGAAAAGAAACACCCCTGGCTCTATTAACTGGCAATGCCCCAATCTGCCAAACTCCTTTTACCTCTAATAAATTTCTTTTGTTACTTAGTTGTCTTACTTCTTGTATCTTCATGTAAAAAGAATATCAGCTTTCTTTGCTACCCGACACCTTTTATGATTCCAGTCAGGTTCCTTCAACAGTCTTCATAAGCAGAAATTTATGATACAGCTAGTCTCTTAACCCAGTTAAAAGTTTCCACAGTTTGCTTTCCTGAACAAGGTTTTTCCCTACATTAACTCTCACCCCGCCCCACGACCACCGTCTACCAACTCTGTTGCTGTCCTCACTCAGGGCTAAGATGAGGACTCCCAGGACAAGGGAGGTTGGAAGTGGTGACCTCCAGCAGCAGGAAGGGGGCTCTCTTTTTCCATCAGTAGCTATTCGGGCGCTGAAAAGGCACAAAGCCCAGGAAAGAGGTGAGGAGGAACAAGTTCTGTCGGGTTTGGCATCTAAGCCTGATCTATGGGTCACAGTAATGTCACTAAAAGGAAGCAATAGGTGACAGTAATTGCAGACTCCCAGGGGGATGAAGGCTCCTACAGAGCAGCCAGACTGGCTGTCTTAAAACCTCTGCTGCTTGCCCGTGGTCCAAATCTGGAACGTTGCAGAGAAACTCTTACAGCTCATCTGCCATCGCAATATTATTATTTGTTGGCCATGCACATGGCCACCATGATACCGTCGAAGGAGCTCTTCAGCAGATCAAAGCTAACTAGAGTCCAGAGACAATGGTGAATGACACCCGAGCCCAGGTGTTGATCCAGGGGAAGGACTTTGACAGGAGCAAACATCCTGTGGATCAACATCTGACTACACGGCTACAGGCGGGACTTCAGCTCTTGAGACATTAAGGTCCTCTGAGAAACAAAAAGTGCTTGACAGAGACAGGATTCATTTGGTAATGCAAATCATCATTGCCAACAGGCTTGCCTCATAAGGAAGGCTTCAAACTAGGTTTGCCAGGGAAGTAGAGACTGAAGCCTAAAAAGTGGGAGAATAGCAGAGAGGGTAAGTGCACAGGGCAACACAACAGTGAGGATCTTACAGTCCCCCTGAAAAAGTGGCACAAGCAGGGACACATCTTAAGTAGCTGTATATGAATGCATTCAGCACAGGAAGCAAGCACAAGGGATTAGAAATCAGAGCACATAACAATCTCATGAGGAGTACGTGGTATGGTGAGATAGTTCACACAACTGGAGGACTGCAGTGGATGGATGCTGGCTTTTAAGAAAGGAGAAGTGAGAAAGTCAAGGAGGACAGCGCTTACACTTTATGCAAAGAACTTGAACAAATGGAGCTTTAGTGTGGAAGAGGCTGCAGGACAGCTGAAAATCCACAGGTCAGGATTCAACCAACAGAACATCATGGTGAACATGTGACAGACTGTCCTATCAACAGTAAGTAGATGAAGCCTTCAAATAAAACCACGAAAAAAGTCTGCACAAGGCCTCGGTTCTCATGAAAAATATCAGTTACCCTGACATATGATGGAAATGCAACATGGTAGCAGGCAAGCAAGCCAGGAAACTTCTGTGGTGCTTGGAGGACAAACCTGACTGAGATGGTGTACGAGCTCAATAGGGGAGGCACTCAGCTAGACCTGCTACTCATTCTTAAGGAAGAACTGATCAGTGATATGACAGTTAACAGTGGTCTTGGCCACAGCAGTCATGAGATAGAATTTAAGATCCCAAAGGAAGTAAGGAACTTGAGTAGCTGAATAACGGCCCTGAGCTTCGCAGTCGCTGATTTACATCTCTCCCCCAGGAGGAGGGGGGGACTGCAAAGAAGCTAGAAATAGGACTGCTGTACTGTCTTGTCTAAACCAGAGAAGTCTTAAACGGGCCAAGGGCCTATGGCAAAGTTTTTAGTGAGCTATCCTACTACCTCTTTATAAAGTCAAAGAAATTAGAAAGGTAAGAGTAATTACCACTACTGAGCAATTCAGAAACCATTACTTTGTGAATTATTTCCAGTATGCTATTTAAGTGTCTCTACAAGTTTACTCAGATTTAAGAGAGTATTAA